GCTGTCTGTGTGTGCCCCACAGGCCCCTCCAAAGCCCTGGAAGCCAAGGAGATGGAGCTGGAAGGGAAACCCGAGGAGAGCCGGCCCCCGTGCCACGTGCTGGCCCGAAACCTCCTGTACCCGGGCTCTCACACCCGCCGCTTCCCCGTGCCGGACGAGAAGGTGCCCTGGGAGGTACGAGCTGTGGGGCTGGCAGGAGGAGGCTTGAGGGGTACCCTGACAGTGGTGGGAAGAGGAACCCATCATCCCCTTTGGGAGCTCTTGTTCTTCCCAGCCCTGGGACAGTCGGATTCCTGCAGTCCATAAAGCAAAGGGCAGCGTTCCCGCTGGGATTGCAGTGCTGGGGATATCTGGGGGTGCTTGGTGGGACACACAGGGTGCAGACACCCACCTTTACCCCCATTTCCCGAGGCAGGGCTGGCTCAGGGGCAGGGGCAGCACCGGCACTGCTTCCATGGGGTGYGAGCCCTGCAGAGACGCTGAGCTGAGCTCCCAGCAGAGCCTGGAGCGATGCCACCAGCTGGGCAGAGGAAGAGGGTGGCGGATGAGGTGTCCCCGTGTCCCAGTCCCTGCYTGCTGTCACAGCAGGGGCACAAGGCGGGCTGACCCAGCCGTGTGTCGTGCAGGTGGATTTCCCKCTCTACGACCCCCCTGCCTACTCGGCTGAGCACAAGGACATGGCCGTGCAGGATCCCTTCAGCCTGTGAGTGTCACCCCACAGCCCCCCGCTCCTCCGCCCTGCCCTGGGCGGCACAGCCASCCCTCCCTGCCGGGCTGCCTCCCGCCCCGCAGCTCCCTGGAGTCTCTGCTCAAGATCAACTACAACACCATGGACGGGCTGATCGACCGGCAGAGCTTCCACGGGCTCTACGCCGTGCAGGACGGGCTGCCGCTGTGAGTGTGCCGCCGGGGGCTCGCTGGGGCTGGGGGGACACGGGAGAGCACCGGGACACGGGAGAGCACCGGGACACGGGGGACACGGGAGGGCACCGGGACACGGGAGAGCACCGGGACACGGGGGGGACCGAGAGCACCGGGACACGGGGGGGACGGAGAGCACCGGGACACGGGAGAGCACCGGGACACGGGAGAGCACCGGGACACGGGAGAGCACCGGGACACGGGGGACACGGGAGGGCACCGGGACACGGGAGAGCACCGGGACACGGGAGAGCACCGGGACAAGGGGGACACGGGAGGGCACCGGGACACGGGGGACACGGGAGGGCACCGGGACACGGGAGAGCACCGGGACACGGGGGGGACCGAGAGCACCGGGACACGGGGGGGACGGGCCAACTGGGCACGTCCAGACCACTTTGCTACGGCTGATGGTGGGGCAGGGATAATTGCATGCATTGTCCTTAGGGCTGAACTCCCCAAAAACCACCCCAAAAGAGGTGGGGTGCGGTGGTAGGGAAGGGCTGCAGGGGGATTCTGGCGCTGTCCCAGCCCACTCGCTGTCACCCTGGCAGGAACCCCATGGGCAGGACGGGGCTGCGAGGCCGCGGGAGGCTGCACTGCTTTGGGCCCAACCATGCCCTGCACCCCGTGGTGACCCGGTGAGTGTGTCCAGCCGGGCTGGGAAAGGGGCACGGGGTCACATCAGGGACCTGGCCAAACCCCCAYGGCCAGTGTGACCACGGCTGGGCAGAGGGAGCCAAGTCCAGCTGCAGCGTGACAGGGGCCTCTCCCACAGCTGGAGGAGGAATTTGGATGGGTCCATTATCAGGAAGAGCCTGAAGAAGATGCTGGAAGTGCTGGTAGCCCAGTACCCGCTGTCAGATGTGTGGGCTCTGCCTGGGGTGAGAGCTGGTGGAAACGGGGGGAAGGGAAGGGAAGGGAAGGGAAGGGAAGGGAAGGGAAGGGAAGGGAAGGAGGAAGGAAGGCTGAGGAGGTTCCTTCTGCAGAGCACCTGCACGGTGCCGGGAGAGCCGGGAGCCGGGAGCAGATGTGCTCTCCTCACACACACACATGCACACATTCTCCCACCCTGACCCGCTGTCTCCTCCCTGTCCCTCCCACCCCTCCGTGCTCCAATTCTCACACATCCCTCGTGTGAGCCTGTTAAGCCATCCTGTGGATAGGGATTTGGACAGAGCTGAGGACTTTGGGTAGCAGAGGGACGATGGGAGGCACCAGCAGACCTTTTGGCACCTTCTGGTGGCAAGCAACTGCCTGGTGGCCCRGCTGGTGGCAGGGAGGGAGGCTGGGCTGTGCTGCTGGCAGGTGACACCTGCTTTGTCACAGGGGTCACTGGAGCCGGGCGAGACGCTGCCACTGAAGCTCAAGTGGATCCTGCGCCGGGAGTTCTGGCCCCAGTTCCAGAACCTGCTGAAGCAAGGCACTGAGGTGGGGGGACACGGTTGTCACAGTGGGATCGGGCCACAGGAGGGCTCAGTGGCGTGGGGACATGTGGGCATCACCCTGGCACAGKGACATCGTGGTGTCACAGGGCCACATGGGTGCCCCAGGGTAGAGGAGATCACCCCTTGGCCTCTGCTCCCACTGGCCAGGAAGGGCTGGGGGAGGTGAAGACCTGCCCTAATACATGTGTGGGGTCAGGGAACAGCCCAGAGGCCCCGGGGCAGGGCTGCCCACGCCAGGGTCGGTGCTTGCTGTGGTCACTCCCCATGGCTCCAGTCGCAGTGGGAACCGGGCTCTGGTGTCCAGCGAGGCAGAGGAGCTGCAGGGCGATGTCCCCACCACCCCAGAGCCCCCAGGGTGCCCTCAGAGAGGTGATGAGGGCTCTGCTCATGTGGCATCTCCACGCCCAGGTGCACAAGGGGTACCTGGATGACCCACGCAACACCGATAATGCGTGGGTGGAGACGGTGGCCATCAGCGTGCACTTCGAGGCCCAGAACGACGTGGAGATGAAGAGGCTCAATTCGGTACGGGGCTCTCCCCCCTCAGGGCTCCTGGCCCAGCTCACAGCGGGGTTGGGGCATGGGAACCACATCTCCAGACCCAAATCTGCACAGGATTCTCYGGCTGCGTGCAGTGGGGGAAGAACACAGGGGTGAATGTGGGGTGGCACATCAATGCGTGCCCCAAAAAGAAAGGGTGGGGACTGAGGTGCTGCTGAGCGTGGCCAGCACGGCCAGCAGCACCTGTGTGACATCTGTCCCCTTCCAGTTCCTCCAGGGCTGCGACCCGGAGCTGAGCATCCGCTGGCAGGTGCTGGACAAGAGGATCCCCCTGCACGCCAACCACAAGGAGCTCCTGCGCAAGGTCTCAGCCCTCCTCGGTGCCTACTACTGAGGCCTCCTGCACAGCCCAGGGCTCCTGTGGCCCCAGATGGATGGGCCAGGTCTGGCTGGGACCTGCAGCTCCAGCCCAGCTCGCCCATGAGAACGTGGGGGATGCTGGAGTGAGGTACTCTGGGTGCCTCTGTGAATGTACACTGCAGGGAGGAAAATGTCCCCTCCCTGGGGACAGGGGCAGTGCCTCCTGATCACCTGAGCCACCAAGCTCAGCCCCAGTTTGTGTCTCGGTGCTTCCACATCAGCCCACAGCACGAGCCCAGAGCTCCAGAGCTGTGGCCACACAGGGTTGTTCCTGGGAGAGGATCCTTCTGTCCACTCCAACCTGCTCTTGGCTTGGGGTGGGCACTGAGGGCTCCAYCAGAACACCCATCCCTGCTCCCTGCTCTGCTCTGAGCCCTGGCAGCCCCAGTGCCACAGATCCTGAAGAGTCGCTCTGGAGAAGGCCTGCAGTGGCCCCTGTGGCGGCTGTAGCCATATCTGTGGTTATCTCAATATTGTCCTGAGCTGTGATCCAGCACTTCTGAAGGTGTGAGGCAGCTCTTGGCTGATGTCCCTGCAGCTCCATAGCTCTGCACAGACCCCCCTGCCCTGCCCCAAACTGAAATGTGATCCTGTGTGTGTGTGTGTGTGCTAAGCTCTGGCTTGTAGCTAACCCTCCTTCCTCTGTCCGAGCCAAGGCCCCAGCTCAGTGTCACCTGCCTGTCCCCATCTCCTTGTGCACACGGATGGGAAGGGGACACGGCTGATCCGTGCTCCTGGGCAGGCAGGGWCAGCAGAGGGCACATCACGTGTCAGCCCTGCACATCCCTGCCTTTAAGGGGTCTTGCACTCTGGTTTTCTGTTGCCTGCCATAGGGAGAACAAGGCACAGCAGACACATTTTTTAATCATCCAGAAGAGCCCCACTGTCACGTGTTTGTTATGCCTGGGACTGCACAGGAAGGGATTTTGGCTCCCCCACCATYCCCCAGTGGATCAGACACTGCTCACCCCACACTGGAGGCCAACACAGCACAATTGTGGTTTCCCAATGAGGCTCTGGGGTTTTGCAAAGGGAGGGGGCTCAGTCTGGCAATGTATCCAACCCAGCTCAATAAACCATGTATGAAACAACCACAGGCTGGTGCTGTTTCACTCCCTGGAGGCCATGCTTGGAGCACACCGTGGGGTTAAGCCCAATTCCCACCCCAATYTTGTACAAACCCACTTTGCCTGTGGACTCACCCCCAGGGAYGGCTGAATGACAGAATRGTTTGGGTTGGAAGGGGCTTTAATGCTCATTTCATYCCAACCCCKCTGCCKTGGGCAGGAACAGAGCAGGGGSTTTGAGATGACCCATTTAGGGTTGATGTGGGATCTGTGCCCCAAAGTGACGACACGGCAACTGCTCCCATCCCTCCTGGACTCTGATGTCAGCTCCTGATCTCCATCACGGAGACAGACAGGAGCCCATCTGCTGAGAGCCCTGGYGGGCCGGGGAGGGAGGCCGTGCCTTACAGCGGCTGATCCAGCTGCTACACCGGCAGCCCGGAGCGCAGCTCCGAAAAATCACTGAAATCTCATTAGCAGCAGCTAATTTCCGCACTTCAGGGCTCTCCTGCAGCCCTGTGAGGGTGCTGCTGTCTGTCCCATCACCCCGGTCCCCCCGCCCCCGTGCCCCGCACCGCCCCCGCTCCCGCACCGCCCCCGCAGCTCCCGGCGGTGCCCGCCCGGCCCGGGGCCCGCGGCCACAGCAACAGCAACAGCAACAGGTGGGGCCGAGCGCCCGGAGCCGGAGCTGCAGCGAAGGAGCCGCCCTGGCCGAGCCGGTAAGGGACCCCCGGGGGCGGGGGGGAGCGGTCGCGGTGCTCGGAGAGCTCCCGGCTCCCCGGACCCCGGGCAGGGCAGGGGGCGAGAGGGGGCATCGCTGCGAGCCCCTCGCTGCCCTTCCCGGCGGTGGAACCGGCATCGCGTCCTGTTCCCCGGGACAGGCGGAGATGTCGGAGCTATCAGAGCCCGGTCCATTTGCAGGGATTCCCGGGAAGCTCAGCTTGATCTGCCCGGGCAGAATGCACAGCTCTGGGCAGGGATCCCTCCAGGGTGAGCCTCCCTCTGCGGTGCCCCGGGCAGGGTCACACCGGGGGGATTCTGCTGTCACCGGGGGATGCCATCAGCAGGAGGGTGCCGGTAGCAGCGGGACAGTGACTTGGTGCYCATAATGACATCACCACGGGCCGTTTAATTCCCACGAGAAAGGCTCCCTTGGCTCCCACCCCTCCCCTCCATGGGGATCCCTTTCCAAGGCAGACAGAGAAGTGTGAGCAGCACCAAGGGCAGAGGGAAGGCATCCCACCTCCTTCACCTCCTGCCTCGCCCCTGGCAGCTCTGGGGTGTCCTTTGGGGTTCCCACATCACCCCTTTTACTGTGCCAGGCAGTGGTTCCTTTCTTCACCTGCAGCCCCCAGAGTCAGGATATCAAACCATGCTCTTTGTTTGCTTTAAAAAACAAACTCGCCTCCAAACCCTTATTTGGTGGAACCCTCGGAAACGTGACTCCTACCAGCTCACAGAGCAGAAGGGAAGGGAAAGGAAAGCAAAAAAGCTCCACATCTTGTTATTTAAAACCCTGGTGGTGATTAAATCAGTCTGATGATCCTTAGAGTCTGACTCATCATTTTTTTTTAAACGCTCAGGGTTGGTGAGATAGGAATTTACTGCTGCTGTTCTCCGGCACCACATCCTCCCTGGAAATTGGTATCAGGATGGGGCAGAGGCTCCCAGGCCAGGCTCATCTCCACACCTCCATTTTGCAGCTCCCTTTGTCCACCTGGGTGGTCTCTGCAGACACATGGGAAAGGGCTTTCAATCCCTGGAGCTCTGTTGCTAATTAAACCCAATTAATCTGTCCTGGAAAAGACAACCAGTGTCACTCCACCCTTGTTTTCCGGTCTCTTGCCTCTCACCCCTTTGCCAGGGCACATTGCACACGGGCCATATCCARTGTTCCAGGAAATAACACCGTGTCACATCCCCTCCACCCACAGCTTCCCTTCGGCCATGGGAGAGGCCTGGCGGGCACACCGAGGGGCCGCCCCGCTGCCCAGGAGCTGCTGCCACTCCCGGGGAGCCGCCAGAGGCCATGCTGAGCTGGCCGGCCGCAAGATGACCCTGAGCACCACCACCCCAGCCACCAGCGTGGGCCAGGCTTTCTTCTGCCTCCTGCTCTGCATCCCCTGGGGCAGCTCCTGCCCCCGCAGCTGCCAGTGCACGGAGCGGGCCGGGGCCAAGGCTGTCCTCTGCAGCTCGCGGCACCTGGAGGAGATCCCCAAGGACATCCCCAGGGACGCGGTGTTCCTCAAGCTGGACGCCAACAGCATCACCAGGATCCCCGGCAACGCCTTCAGGCACCTGTCCCACCTGCAGGAGATCGACCTGTCCCGGAACGCCATCGAGAAGATCGACGGCGCGGCTTTCCGAGGGGTGGCGGCGGGGCTGCGGAGCCTCGACCTCTCCGGGAACCGCATCCGCAGCATCCCCAAGGAAGCTCTGCTGGCGCTGAACGCCAAGCTGCGGCTGGCCAACAACCCCTGGCACTGCGAGTGCGCGCTGCAGGAGGTGCTGTGGGAGGCGCGSCTGGACCCCGACTCGGTGCGGGACATCACCTGCCACACGGCCCCGCGGGACGAGTACGTGGGCAAACCGCTGCTGCAGGTGCTGGACGCGGGCGTCAACTTCTGCAGCGTGCGCCAGAGGAGCACGGACGTGGCCGTGTTGGTGGCCATGTTCGGCTGGTTCGCCATGGTCATCGTCTACGTGGTGTGCTATGTCCGGCACAACCGCGAGGATTCGTGCAAGCACGGCCRGCAGCCCAGGGCACTGCCCGCAGCCCCGGGCCGCGCAGACACCGCCAGCACCGCCCTGTAGCTGCAGCTTCCAGTGCCCATGGGCACCTGTGGGCAGCACAGCTTCTTCGGACAAATGCCACCCGTGTCCTTGCTCCGGTGACACGGGACTGAGCGGGAGCAGGAGGCAAGGGAGAGGGGTGACAGGGACACCCTGCAGACATGGCCCTGGGGACACACGGCCCCAGCCAGACCAGAGCTGGGCTCGCAGGGAGGGCACAGCCACATGCTGGTGATTTGGTGAGAGCAGATCTCCCTCCCTGGCAGGGGGAGATGGGCTGTGGGGACAGGAGGGCCCTATGGTCACTGCAGAGGGGTCAGCCCGTGCTGGCTGCAGTGAGGGACCAGCCTTGCAGAGGGCAGAACACCCCTCAAGGCTCTGGAGCTATCCTGGCAGCCTCTGCCTGCCTCCAGCAACCCCAAAAGAGGACTTCAAAACCTCCAAAATCTTTATTTCCTCAATAAAGCCCTGCACTTAGGAAAAGCCCTCAAGGTTTGTGCTGCTCTGGGAGCTGAGTGTCCAGGGAGGGTGGTGGTGCTCAGGGGGGTTTGAGCTTGTCCTAATTCAATCTCTCCCAAAGCAGACCAGCCCAAATTCAATGTACCAGCATGGCTCCCATTAGGTGCCACCCCCTCCACCCTCAGAGTCTGCCTCCAGCAGGGACCAGCTGCCCAAAAGCATCTGGTCTTGCCTTATCTTGCCTTATTTTGCCCTTCCTCGGGGCTGAATTAGAGTTGCAGCTGGGTGATGGAMGCAAATCAAGTTCTCCCTCGTCTCACAAGGCAGAAATAGTCCCTCCTGGCAGCATCACTGAACAGAGAGAGGAGGGAGGGATGCAGAGATTCATCCTGCAGGTCTGGACCCTGGGGTGGCTCAGGCTGTGACCTCCCAGCCCTTTTTGAGGGGATTGGCACCTCCTGAGGGCTCCCCAGTGCCAGGGTGGGTRGCYCAGCTCAGCTCAGCTCTGGGGAAGGCTGAGGGATGCTCTGGGACACTCAGGTGAGGCAGTGGGTCCTGGGTGTGGGTAAAGAGAGGCACCCTCACCCCAGGACATCCCTGTGCTCAGGGCCACCTCATCCTCACGGGCCACCCATGGCCATGGACATTTGGGGGTGACTTGTTGGGTGAAGGGGTGGGCACAGCAGTTCGGTTACCCTCGTGGGAGAAAGGCTGGGTGCACACAGTTTATTTGAGCTCTGCTTAAGCAAAAGAGTCCCCCCACAAAGGTGAGGACAAGAAAAGAGGCCACAGTTCCACCTGGAGCAGTTTTGGGGTTTTCCCCGTGCCCACAGTAGCTGGATTGGTCCAGATRCCAAGCAGGAATTCTCCGGAGTCCCTCCCCCCGTGCAAAGGGACACAGACCAACAAAAACCAGGGCAAAAMCCAGCCCTGCTCCTCGCACACACGGATGGGTTTGTGCAACACTGACAGATTTGTTGAGGGACACCCAAACCAGCCATGGCAGGGCACGAGCACAGGGTGGCAAGGCCACCAAAGATGARCAGAAGAACGGCTGTGATGTCCAACCATCAGGAACATCACAGCCCCAGGCAGGCAGAGCCACGCCTGGACCCCGCTTTTCCCCCAGTTTCTCACACATTTACTCCCCTCTGCCATGCTCGTGCCCCAGCAGCTCATGCTCTGCTCTGCCTCTTCCTTCCCTGGCTTTGTGCAAGCTTTGGCCACAGCTGCCGGCAGCTCTGGGTCAAATTGCCAAGCGTCACGGTCCTGCTAGCCAGGAATGCCCCTGGGCTCTGGGAACCTTGGCTCTGGAGCGTGGTGGCAGAGCTTTCCCAGGAGAAACAGCCCCTGGACAAGGCTGGAGCTCCACCCTGCTCGTCCTCGTCCCCCTCCTCCTCCTCCCTTCCYGCAGAGTGTCCAGCCAGCCCCTGCCCTGCTGCTGCAGCCATTCCTGGGCTCTGTGTCCATCTTCACCCGGATGCCCAGCTCGCCCCGCTCCTGGCGCCGAGCCGAGCGTGTCTCAGCCGCCTCAGGTGGTTTTCAGCTTGAGCACCTTGGAGAGCGGCTCCTTGGCGCTGGAGTAGAACAGGTAGGAGCCCTCGGCCGTGTGGAACGCCTCCCAGTCTCGGCAGCCCACCGTGGGGAGCTGGTGGGCTGCCACGAAACCCTCGTAGCCTTGCCACCTGCACAGGGAA